AATTAGAACAAAAATGATTCTAAATAGGTTATGATATTAGATAAGCAAAAAGAAGCACTTCATTTCACAAAAAAAAGAAAGAAAGAAAAGAAAAAGAAAAAAGCCGGGCAGTGGTGGCGCACGTCTTTAATCCCAGTACTTGGGAGGCAGAGGAAGGCGGATTTCTGAGTTCGAGGCCAGCCTGGTCTACAGAGTGAGTTCCAGGACAGCCAGGGCTACACAGAGAAACCCTGTCTCGAAAAAACAAAACAAAACAAAACAAAACAAAACAAAACAAAGAAGCACTTCATTTTATGGTCACAGGACTACCGTTGGCCTTGTCCAGGCGGTGTCTGTGGGGCACAGCAGAGGCAGAAGCCTCAAGCAGAGAGAAAGGAGCTGCTGAGGAAGTAAAGGCCAAGCAGAAACTAGCCAGTCACAAAGCTTGAGTGTGAGCAGGAGGGTTGAGGGGGTGGGAAGTGGTTTGGGGGCTGCAGCTTCTCCTGATACGCCAGACACCGTGCCTTACTGTGCTTCTCTCTCTCTCTCTCTCTCTCTCTCTCTCTCTCTCTCTCTCTCTCTCTCTCTCTCTCTCTCTCTCTTTTCTCTTCCTTCCTTCTTTTCTTTTGACAGGTCCTTCCTATGTACTTCAGGCTGGCCTTGAACTCGTCTCTTGCCTCTGTTCCTCTGTGCTGGGGTTCCATGTGTGCACCTAGCCTATTGCTTAACTTGTTTTTCTTTCTCTCTTGTGGTTCTAGGGATGGAACTTGGGGTCTGCATATGTTAGGCAACTGCTTTACACCTGAGTTACCTTCCTTTAAGTGGTCTCTCTCTCTCTCTCTTCCTCTCTTTCTCTCTCTTTCTGTGTGTGTGTGTGTGTGTGTGTGTGTTCGTATGTGCCACACTGTGTGTAGAGAGGTTAGAGGAGAATTTTTAGTAATCAGTTCTATCATTCCACCATGTGGGTTCCAGGGACCACACTAAGATGGTCAGGCTAGGCAGCCAAATGTCTTTGCCCACTGAGCCATCTCAAAGCATATTTTAAAAAAAATTAGAGCCAGGCGGTGGTGACGCACGCCTTTAACCCCAGCACTTGGGAGGCAGAGGCAGGCGGATTTCTGAGTTCGAGGCCAGCCTGGTCTACAGAGTGAGTTCTAGGACAGCCAGGACTACACAGAGAAACCCTGTCTCAAAAAAACAAAAACAAAAAAAAAATTAGAATGAGCACAGGAACATAGATAGGCTGGGCATGGTGGTGTATACCTTTACTTGGGAGGCAGAGGCAGGTAGGCAGATCTTTGTAAGTTTGAGGCCAGCCTCGACTATATTATGAGTTCCAATCCAACCAGAGTTATATGGTGAGATACTGTTACAAAAAGAAAAAACGGGGGTGGAGGGGGTGGAGGAAGAGGTCTGTGTCTTCTCACAATGTCAGAATTTATTGAGTAACAATAAATTCATAAAGAAGACTTGTGTCAATGGTAGCAGTTTGCTGGATATTCTTGCATTTCCTTGGCAACCCTGGCTGAAGCAAACTGAGGCTCTTTTTATAATTTTATTTATTTTTATTTTATGCATGTGGGTGTTGTGCCTGCACATATGTCTGTGAGCTACATGTGTGCAGTGTCTATGGAGGCAAAAGACAGAGTTGGGTCCCCTGGAACTGGAGTTTCCTCCTCTTTTGTTTTGTTTTGGTCTCTTTATGTAGCCCTGGCTGTCCTAGAACTCACTACGCAGAGCAGGCTGGCCTCAAATTCACAGAGGTCTGCCTGCATCTGTCTCTCAAGTGCTGGGATTAAAGGAATGCTCCACTGAGCCTGGCTTGGAATTGGAGTTAAAGACAGTTGTGAGCCACTATGTGGGTACTGAGAATTAGACCTGGGTCCCATGCAAAAGCAGCAAGTGCTCTTAACCACTGAGTCACCTCTCCAGCCCAGAACACGAGTTTTCTTACTCCAATTTTAATTGCTATCCTAACTCTCTATGGTGGTTTGGATGAGAATGAACCCCATAGGCTCATAGGTCCGAATTCTTGGATCCCAGTTGATGGGTCTGTTTGGGAACGATTAGGGGGTATGTCACTGGGAACAGCTTTTGAGGTTTCAAGGCCTTCCTGCACTTCCAGTGCCCTCTTTCTCAGCTTTGTAGCTGAGTACAAAGATGTGGGTTGTTTCTGCTGCCATGCCTTTGCTTTGCCACCATGGACTCTAACCCTCTGAAATTGTAAGCCCAATTAAACACTTTCTTTTGTAAGTTGCCTTGGCTGTGGTGATTTGTCACAGCAATAGAACAGTAACTGAGGCAGGTAATTTGATGTTTCAAACAAGTGGAATGACTTTACTTCAAGGATAGCCTGCCCCCTTCACAGATAGCCTAGACCCAGAGTGGGTCTGGAGTATACTCCTTGGGTGTGCCGTGCTCTCTTCTGTGCCTATAGTGTCCTCTCGATTGCTTCTGTTGTCAGGCAGGTTTGTTTCACATGAAGGAGAGGTGACACCAGAGCCACTTAGACGTTTCATGCCCTGCTTTTGTCTTCCTACTCCACAAAACTCGCAAGTTATGTACTCTGTAGACAAGTCAACATCACTTGGCAAGGAGCCACAGGAAGTAGCAGCGAGGCCTCCCCAGATCATTGATCATTGTCATGTTCTACAACCTCTTTAGAAGCAGACAGACTAGAGGAAGCCTTGAGAACCTCCTGCAGAACTTTGGATTCCCTATATTTCTGTCTGTCTTTACTGTGCATATTTGGCTACTTGGGTCTCTGATTGTGTCTCCCTCCAGGGAAGCTAGACCAGTTGGAACTCAAACTTATTAGTTTAGGTGTGTGGTGGTGGTGGGGACATACTAACTTACATATCACTCTACAGAAAGGTTGATGGGCCTGGAGATAAGGCTCAGTGATTAAGAGCACCGACTGTTCTTCCAGGGGTACTGAGTTCAATTCCCGGCAACCACTTGGTGGCTCACAACCATTTGTAATGGGGTCTGATGCCCTCATCTGGTGTCTCTGAAGACAGCAATGGTGTACTCATATACATCAAATAAATAAATAAATCTAAAAAAATAAGTTACTGCCGGGCGGTGGTGGCGCATACCTTTAATCCCAGCACTTGGGAGGCAGAGGCAGGCGGATTTCTGAGTTCGAGGCCAGCCTGGTCTACAGAGTGAGTTCCAGGACAGCCAGGGCTATACAGAGAAACCCTGTCTAAAAAAACCAAAAAAAAAAAAAAAAAAAAAGAAAAAAAAAAGAAAAGAAAGAAAGGAAGAAAGAAAGAAAGAAAGGCTGAGTGATTCTGACACAGCTTGATCCAGACCCTCCAGTGACACACAGAATCTGTCTCTGTATCTTGCCTCTCCAGTTCTCTACACGGGCTATTCTGAGTAGTTTTTTCCTACATGGTGACAAGATGCTCTCTCTTAAGGTTGTGTTCACATATTCAGTGCAAAGAGGGCTTCCCCACCCCACACAGCTCCAAGATGTGACTCTTTCTCACAGCACAGATCTAATCAGTGATCGTCCCACAGCTAAGCCAGGGAACAGGGCTTCATTAGACGGAGAAGCCTGGCCACAAGCTGAATCCCAGATGGTCTGATGGAATGCTACATCCCTGAACGAAAACCAGGGTGACGTCACAGATGGGGATAGCCTAGTGCAGAATGCTTGCCTGGCATTCTTGAGGCCCCGAGTTTGGTCTCCAACACATGTATACACACATGCGCACACGCACACACACACCCACACACATGTGCACACTCAAGTGCACACACACATGCACGCGAGCGAGTGCACACACACACACACACACAAACATATTGGTGAGAAGCTGCGCCCACCTGTAACTTATTCTTGTGTTCTGTAGACATCTGCTTTGACGAGCTTCCTCCCACTGGTTCTGTGTCTGTCCTCTATAACGGCTTCCTGTCTTCATGCTATCTTCCCCTTCCCATACTGCAGACCGTGCCTGGTATCTAAGAGCCGCGTGTGACTGCCTAGCTTTCTCTCACTAGCCTGAAAGGCTCACCGGCCCTGAAAGCATGGGTTTCACCAAGTTCTCTGTCTGAGTGTGAATACTAGGCCCTCCAGGGCTGAAAGTGGTGTATGTCTATATACTTCCTGCCAAAGGGAGAGTACCACCAAGTAGTAGCCAATCTCAGGGTGGAAGGTTTTTAGGATTAAATGAATATAGTACTTTTTGTTTGCTTGTGTTTGAGATAGGGTCTTGTTGTATAGCCCAGGCTGCTGACCTGCCTCAGCCTCCAGAGTACTGTAATTGCAAATATGTACCAGCACATCCAGTGAGCATGTAATTCTATAATGTTTAGAACAGTCTGGTGTACAGTAGCTGCACAATAAACACTAGCTATTATTGCTTGCAGGAAAGGGTTGAGACAGGATCTCATAGCACAAACTAACCTTGAACTCCTTAATGTAGCTAAGAAAGATCTTGAATTTCTGAGCCTCCCACATCTTCTGTCCAAGTGTTGAGATTATGGGCAATCACCATCTTACCTGGTTTTGTTTTTAGAGTTTTTTTGTTTTTTGTTTTTCGAGACAGGGTTTCTCTGTATAGCCCTGGCTGTCCTGGAACTCACTCTGCAGACCAGGCTGGCCTCGAACTCAGAAATCCGCCTGCCTCTGCCTCCCAAGTGCTGGGATTAAAGGCGTGCACCACCATTGCCTGGCAGTTTTTAGAGGTTTTTTTTTTTTTTAAACAAGAAGTTTATTTAAACAACAAGACACTTGACTGGAAGGGGAAACTATCTAGGATCATTTTGTTCAGAGTAATTTATCCCTACTTAAAGACAGATTGCCCTACATGTAACAGCTACGTACAAAAAAGTTATAAAATTGTCCTTGGTTTTACAATGATAAATGAAAAACATTAAAATTCTCCAATTGAACAAGGTATGCAAGGATTTTGTGTGGTTGGGTTCTTTTGTTAAAACAGTGAGAGCAAAGTAACTTACTGAAATATAAAGCTAAGAGCTGAATGAGCATGCCACTAAGGGAGAAGGGGGAGATTTTGACAGACCCAGGACTTTCCCCCAGATCATCTCCATCCGATGTCAACCAAAACAGAACATTGGCCATTTAGTTTAAAAAAGGAAAAGTAAAAAAGAGCAATATGCTTGTGCACATACACCAGTTACTTTATGTACAATAAAGAAATGGGGACAGGGAAATGAAAGAAGAGAGAAAACTATACTGCAGTAGTCAGGGTGTGGGGGGACCAAACTGCGGTTTTCTAATTGAGAATGTATTCTTGGTCTATAACAAAATTCTGGAGTAAAGCAGCAGGTTCCCTTTTCAGTAGACACCTCCTGTCTGCTGCTGGAACACATCAATCGTGTCTTCATCCTCCATTTCCAACTGTGCAGGTGTGTCTGTTTCGTTGATTGGCTGCCCATCAAACGGGAATCTGATCTGCCTCATTGACAAACCCTGCCGCTCACAGTACGCTCTCATGAGTTTACTAAGTGGTGTGTGCCGCTTAATCTTAAACTGCACCACAGAACCATCCTGTCCCGCCACCTTCAAATTAATATGATCGTTGTTCTCAGTCTTGACTCCTTCCTTGGGTTTCTCATCAGCCATGGCGAGCGCCGGAGTCTCCTCAGCTGCCGCTTCACAAAAGAGGCACCAGGTCTGCACTGAAGGAGCACACAAGCAGCACCAGGAGCGGCAGAAGCCAGTTTTTAGATTTTTAACTGTTATTTTTCTGAGACGGAGTTTCTCTGCCTAGCTCTTGGAACTTATTCTGTAGACCAGGCTGGCCTCACAATAAGACATCTGCCTGCCTCCACCTCCCAAGTACTGGGATTAAAGGCATGTGCCACCACCTCATGGTTTAGATTTTTAAGTTTTATTTTGTCTGTGACAGTATGAATGAGGATGGCCCCCAGAGGCTCATAGGTTTGACTGCTTGGTTTCCAGTTGGTGAGCTGCTTGGGATTAATGTGTGGTCTTGTGGGAACAGATACAGCCACATTGTAGGAAGTGTGTCACTGAGAGTGGGCTTCAATGTTTCAAAAGTCCACACCAAGTCTAGTGTCTCTGTCTCTCTGTCTCTCTGTCTCTCTGTCTCTCTCTCTCTCTCTGTCTCTCTGTCTCTCTCTGTCTCTGTCTCTCTGTCTCTCTCTCTGTCTCTCTCTGTCTCTCTCTCTCTGTCTCTCTCTCTCTGTCTCTCT